TATGTTCTTATGTTCTTATTATAGTATGCACTGAACCTGTCACACTGACAAATATTTAGTGACACTGATATAGGCCTACTATATGATTTTATGTGATCCAAATCATTTTTAGTAGACTATTGTTCATATGTTTTGGCTTACACATCATCTGCAAGGTTCTATGATCTTTCAGCAAGCTTCAAAAATATTGCCATTCACTTGTTCACGGTTAACTGGCAGATATCAGAAACTGCTAATGTTAAGTTTATGTGTCTCAAGGTGTGACTGTAATATAAATAAAAAGTCATGCAAAGCATCGCTTTGGTGAATCGCTGAGTGGTAATGACTGAGGGAGAAAGCTCAGAAAGGATAGCTGGGTCACTCCCTTCTCACCTGGGTAAATCTGGTTCCATCTACAGCTTGGACACACAGTTTTCAAGCAGAAACAGAACTGTGCATTGCAGGTGCAAGTTGCACCTGTACCCCACACTGGGGAAATACCGCACCAAATTGGTGTTTGATGCCGATTCCCTCCTTTTGGAAGAGAGGCAACAATCTTGCAAATGACGCCCTCACTGGATGGTGGTATTGAGGCTCAGATAACTCTGCGGTGGTCTGTGGTCACCACCCATTGGGTTACAAATTACAAATTTACACAAAATTTCACTGCCAAATATTTAATGCTCTTCTAGCATTCTTTGTGACCTTCATGAAGACTATAATGACGCTGGAAGCTATTTTATTACTTTTATCACTAAAAGTTGGGATCTGTTTACTTTCTTCACAGACAGGCTCTGATCGTGGCGTGTGGACATATGGTGTTAACTGCAAAACATTCACAATCTGACCAGGAGCTCAAGTCATGTGCAATGGTCCAGTCCACTAATAGTGAAAACATATTTAAAATATTTAAACCTTATTTGTATATAGTTTGTTCTATACAGTAACATCAAAAAGTAATTGATTTTTATTTTTTTGAATAGCATGCAATGTAAAAGCTCTCAGCAACAATAGCTTTTAATTCTTTGAATAAAATATCAAATTATTTTGATTAGGATTGGGGAAATGTGTTGTGTGCAGTAAAAATATGTAATAAAAGAATTTAATTAACAAAAACAAAATAAGAAAATTGTGAAATGTGGAGTCAGAATTGGAACATTTAGGATTCATGAGGCAGTTCTTACAGCGGGTAATGGCGGAGTGACAGACGATACACGTTGCGGCTTTCAGAAAACAAGGAACTTTACTGAAGCTGAACCAAAAAAAGAAGAAACAAAAGGAACTATGAGGGGTCTAAACACAGGTAGGTAGAAAAACAGGATCAAGCACGATGACTAACTGGGGAACAGAGTAAGAGCAGGCATTTAAATACACATGATAATGAGGGCTTTAATTAAGAAGGGATAAATGTGTGCTATAACTAATTAACCACAAAACAAAAGACTAGCGGCAATGGGGAACAGGTGAAGGTAATCACAACCAAACACTAGGGACTAGGGCAACACAGGAGATTCAGGGAACATAAGTGAAATACACAACTACGTATACACAAGGGTAACCAGGAACAAAATAGAAAAACAAGGACCAATACAGAAATAACATGAATGCAAGGAACTAACAAGGGGAAAAACAAAACTCAAAATAACATATCAGTAAGGGAGCTCAGTTCTCAGCCACCCACTTAGCCCATTCAGCCACACGGCGGCCCAGGGGAGCACACTAGGGACAGAACAGACCTGGGAAACAGTAAGAGACAGGATAGCCAGCGACACCTACTGGCCAAACAGCAAAATTACTGACTGAAAGGCAAGACTGGGACCAGTCCTGACAGCAGAGATTCATCAATGTGGAGCTGGTTCCCCTCTTGCAGCTGTAACAGCTGTCACTCTTCTGGGAAGACTTCCCATAAGTTTATGGAGTGTGTTTTTTGGAATTTTTGCCCATTCATCCAGAAGATCAGGCGCTGAAGTTTCACTTGAAGGCCTGGCTTGCAATCTCCATTCTAGTTCATTCTAAAGGTGCTTGAGTGTGGTTGAGGTCAGGGTTCTGTGCAGGCCAGTCAAGTTCTTCCACACCAAACGTTCCCAACCTTGCTTTCTGCCCTAGGGCACAGTCATGCTGGAACAGTTAAGGGCCTTCCTCAATCTGTTCCCACAAAGCTGTAAGCATAGAATTGGCCAACATATCTTATGATGAAGCATTAAGGATTCCCCTCACTGGAACTAAGGGCCCAACCCCTGAAAAACACCCCCATACCATTATCCCTCCTCCACCAAACTTTACAGCTGGCACAATGCAGTCAGGCAGGGAACAATCTCCTGGCATCTGCCAAACCCAGACTCATCCATCAAACTGCCAGACAGGGAAGCGTGATTCATCACTCAACAGAACATGTTCCCACTGCGCCAGAGTCCAGTGGCGGTGTGCTGTACACCACTGCATCCGTCACTCGGCGTTGCGCTTGCTGATGTGAGGCTTGTAGCTCGGCTATGGAAGCCCATTCCACAGTTTTTGTGCTGGAGTTAATGCCAGAGGAATTGTGAAACTACAGTTTATGCACCATGCGCCTCGGCACTCTGTGACCCTGTTCTGTTAGTTTACATGGTCTGTCACTTCATGACTGAGTTTCTGTTGTTCCTAAACGCTTCCACTTTCCAATAAAACCACTTACAGTTGACTATGGAATATCCAGCAGGTAAGACATTTAATAAAGTGATTTATTGCAAAGATGGCAACCTATGACAGTACCATGTTTGAATTCACTGAGCTCTTCAGAACGACCCATTACTTCACAAATGTTTGTAAACCTGACTGCATGGCTGCAGGCTTGATTTTACTGCAAGATTACACACCTGTGGCAATGGGTCTGAATGAAACACATGAATTCAATGACAGAGAGGTGTGTCCCTATACTTTTGTCCATATAGTGTACATACATACATACAAACATACATACATACATACATACATACATAGCCTGAAAAAATGCATATAAAAACTGTAAACATATGGAATATATATGTATGTATTACAGTCAGTTATTATTATAAAAGGTACTGTGTACTGTGGCTGAATGGTGTTGAATACATTTATACATTATTTACACACTGTTATTTATAATAAAGAGACAGTTGATAGCAGTATATTAAAGATGTGAATGATGTACATTTATTTTAGACAGTTAAACAGTTACATCATTGGATTCCTCAAAAATTGTTTTCATTATGTTGTCTCTGATTTCAAACTGAATTTTTATTCAAAAACTCATTTTATTATGTGGAAGTAATATATCTCAATTGAAGTATAACTGCTGTCATATTGCTTTGGAAACCAGGCTCATAAAAGAGATTTATGATAGAATTCCAGAAAAGTGCCGCTCCGAAATCAATAAGCCAAGGGAAGTTACTAGTCAGCCAACAACATAATAAAAACATGTCAGAAGCTGTCCGATTGTTCATGTTCAGACTGCCTGTTTGAAGGGCAGCAATGCAGACAAACCAGGTTGCCTATTTAGGCTCAAATGAAGCAATAATAATTAAGGCAAGGGTGTTGATTTGGGAATGTATGGTAGGGACATGTCCTTATCAATATTCTGGGAGTACCTTGTGTGCTTTCACAGGACAGAGGGGTTCAGGGCTGACTTGGTACCTGCCAATCTTGAAACCAAATGTACGCCCTTGAATTGAAGTGAATTTTGAGCAGTCAGTGTGGGCAGGTGGGTTGGATTGAAGAAGCAGAGGTAAAAATACTGTTTTTTACCCAGATGGTAAAAACAGCCAAGGTCAGATTGCAAGTGGGTTGTGCACTTCTGCTCCCAAAATCAATATTTCACCTGAGGCAGCCCCATTTAAAGATTAAAGAATTCCCTGTAAACTTTGAACTCTTAGTTTATACATGCACAGCTGGAAAATATATGAATTATTTTTCCGGGGTAGGAGTCTCTCTAAGGCCTCATCTGGGACTTATACTCAGCAGTGAGGTTCCTAACCCACAGCTGTCTCCCACGTAAGGTGTCCGTTAGCTGAAGTCTGTGCTGATTTTATTCATGTGGATCTCCTGTGTCTCATGATGCTGTGATTTATGGGTCATTTTTGCAGTCCTTTCCCTTCTCACATGTGTTCCAATAAGAACAGGACGAATGTGACCTGCTTAGCTGACATTCTTCAACGCTCCGTTCAAATGTACCCATTTATACAGCTAGAGAAATACAGGCTATCCCCTTTTTTCAAGTACACAAATTCATAATTCTCTCTGAGATTTCAACCGTGTTGAGTCATTTGTTTTAATTACTATAAAAAAATTAACATTATCCCTTTCTACCATCTAGTGTTTTTTTTACGTAAGGAGCGGAACATAATAATAAACTGTTTACTTAAACATGTAAAATTTTGCAAAGTTGTTCTATTTAATAGTGCAATAAATCATGATATGTCGACCCGCAGGTGCATGACAGACTACTCACAATTATTCATCAATGTATAAATGTGACTTATTGAGAGATTCAATAGACAAAGTAACAAAGTTTACTAGGGTTTCCCTGCCAGGGAAACCCTAGTGTCAAGAAGGGAAACCCTAGTCCCCCCCCCCCCCGAAGGTTTTCCCTTCTTGATACATTATGTCCATTTTGTGATATTCAACTCTCAAGCACTTACCGTAACATTACGCTACTTTAATTACTCAGAAAAGGTGTTAGCTTGGCTTGAAACATGCATATATAGATGTATGTGACCTTGTTGACTGATACAAAGATTATCGGGCCTCTTCATCAGACAGAGACACTTTGTCCAAATCTATTCCAGACACAAGAATGTAGCGCCATGAACGATAAAGCCACACGTCTGTGATCTGAGCACAGGTAACATTCCCTGACCTTTGGCCTAATTATAATGAACAATGTTTAGGCACAAAGTAAATTCCTAAATTGTAATTGATTAGTCTTCAGTCTATTGATATAAAATACCCTATTGCACATTGGTATGCTTCTTGGTTAGCATTCCTGGAAAGTTCACCAGCTAAGTGCCACTGCTGTGTCTTTGAAAAGGGCAGCAAAAGTAAATAGAATTGAACTGAATATCCTGGAATCCATTCAGTCTCATGCTCCGCACCCTTGGCTCCAGGAACCCAGCTGCACCGACCAAGATCTGATGGAAGACGGACGGCTGAATTCAATATTTAGTTATTGGAGCAAAGTGAGTCAGACCTTTCAGACCATTTCAAGCAGCATGTGGCTTTCTATGTAACTTAAATGGCAGTTTAATATAAAATTAAATTGTATCTCAAACTATGGCCAGCAATATAATAAATGAACTAAGCACCTCCAGCGGAGAAGCGTTTTATGCAATTACAGCTGTGAATTTACTGTCACTCTTGCATAAATATTCATTGGGATGGTATAAAATCCTGGAGGTCTACATTAAAAATGAAATAACTGGTATAATGGGATCATGCCCCTTGTGTACAGGTCTATAATACAGCTTCTAGGCCCTGTTGTCATTGTAGACAGGCCATTATGTTAATGCTGGAGGGTTCCATCTGGAATCTTATGATACCGCTCATGAATCCTGCCAAATTCATACCAGCCACAGATCAGCCTAAGTACAGAGACTGGGGTGAATGCTATCCAGTGATTGGGGAGACAGCGTCACATGACCCCTGTGCATCTGGTATGTTGCCCTTGTGTCTTTTTTCCATTGAACCTTCTGTACAGTGTAACTCCTATAGGCGACATGAGCAGCCACCAATTTCCGAAGGGACACTGACTTGCCAGCCAGTTTTATTCGGTCTTGGATGGGTGGGGGGGGGGCACCATAGCAGCACCTAGGCTCACCTTTCGCTACTCTTTTCTATGACCGTGTGTGTACCTTCAGGTGCAATACGATCTCCACCTTGCCGTATCATGTGACAACACTATCCTACAGCATTGTCAGCTAAGCATTCTTACACAGCACTTTTCCCAAGGCGTACGACAAATTCTTTAACTTTCTGTGAATGTGTGACCCTTTGACTGGGGTATGGTTACTGCAATCTTTACTGCAATGCTTTTTGGTTCATGAATATTGTCCTTTTAACAGGACAAATCCTATTCTTTCTGACCACAACTTTCCAGTTCCTAGACAGTGTGACAGTGAAATATCTAATATCATAAAAGTGGTGTGATGTGTGCTTGGGACTGGGAAGAGACACGGCCCATTACTGTCTGCATTGATCATACCTACATCTGTTGAGCATATACCAACTCCAAGCCTGGACTGGTCAAAATAGAGCAACCAGCAGGGGGCGCTATTTCTCCATCCATCCATTTTCCAATTGCTTTTTCTGGTCAAGGTCATGAAGAGACCTGTCCAGGACACAAAGCAGGGGTATGTTACTATGGAACTTCATTGCCGGACACATACAAACACACACACACCTTTCATAGTTCCAGTAGAGCTTTAAAAGCACAATTTCAATTTACTTTTTTGCGATTAAATTTTTATTAAAGAAAAATTACAAGCAAAAATTTTTCAACGCATATAACAACAAACACCTCCCCTCCCAACTGACTCCCCCCTACCCTGAGACAGCCCAAGAGAAGCTGATGAGTTGTCAGCGGCAGAGAGAGAGAGAGAGAGAGAGAGAGAGAGAGAGAGAGAGATTGAAAGAGAGGCAGACACTAGTGATACCCAACCAGCTCTGCTGCACAACGTGAAGCCATTCAAATGGTTTGAAAGGTTAAGGCAGAGGATTTGTTCATCTTGGATGCAGATAACTCCTGCAATACGACATTGTAGAAAGTGGACTTCCAGACAGATGGGATATGAAGGTCCAGAGATTTCCAGTGGGGGAAAGTAGCTTAGCTGCAAAACAGTTTCTATTTACAAAGCAATTCACCTGTCTTCTAACCACCAGCTATGGTCTGGGTCACAAGGGCGCTTGACCCCTATCCCAGGGTGCATTAAGCGTAAGATGCTCAAGGCTAAGTAAGCCAGTCCATCACAGGGCACATATATGCACACTTTACAGGCAGTTAGCCTAAATCTTCCCAATCTGGTCCTCGGGGACGGGCAGACAGTCCGTGTTTATGCTCCCTCTGATCTCCCAGAGCAAACATGTGGACTGTTTGACATGTGGACTGTCTGAGGCTCCCGAGGGCCGGATTGACATGTGGACTGTCTGAGGCTCCCGAGGGCCGGATTGACATGTGGACTTTCAGAGGCTCCCGAGGGCCGGATTGACATGTGGACTGTCTGAGGCTCCCGAAGGCCGGATTGACATGTGGACTGTCTGAGGCTCCCGAGGGCCGGGTAGACATGTGGACTGTCTGAGACTCCCGAGGGCCGGATTGACATGTGGACTGTCTGAGGCTCCCGAGGGCCGGATTGACATGTGGACTGTCTGAGGCTCCCGAGGGCTGGATTGGGAAACGCTGCTTTAAACTGTAGGATGGAAGAAGTTCAAGAATCTTAGTCAATGCCTTAATCTCCTTAGCATTCACATTCTTGACAAATGCCTTTGTAGGTGCAGGTTGAAAGCATAAATCACCGAGGAACACGCTTCCAGCCTGCTCTCCTGGGGAATCGATGTTTCCATAACAGATGACACACACGCAAGTGAGGGGTTGCAGATATATTTAAGAAAACATTGGCCAGAGCGGTGCCAGAGGAACAGTGTGCATCGGCAAACGTGTTCGTTCTTGCACCACTCTACACGTCATGGTGGTAAGGGCAGAAACCTGCGTTCACTTACCTTAAGAATTGAGCATCAATCTCTAACTATCTCCTTAAAGTTGTGAAGAAGTGTTGTAGAGAATTTAATCACGCTTGGTACGCACAGAGCCGGATGCACTCTTCTTCTTCCAACATTTTCCTTTCATGGTTATTAAACATTTTTTCACTGGTTTTCAGTGGTTTTGACACCATCTTTGCTGCATCGTGGGAGACAATCTACAGCAAGAGGATTTAACTTAAATTCTGGATTTACTTTCTGCTCAGGTGTCTGACCTACTTTGTGCCTTTTGTGGAGAATGAAGCTTTCATCTAAATGTTCAGCTTATGCTTGATGTTGAAGTTCAAGTCTGCAAAATAGACCTAAACCACCACAGAAAGGCAATCATTTGCACTTGTCTGATAATTGCCCCAGTTCTGGATCTCAGGGTTAAGTGCCTGCAAAGATCAGGGAAAAGTGAGGTATGGGCTTTCATCACCAGAATGTCAATGGTAGCCTATGGTCTAAGGTAGCAGCAGGAACACAACAAATGAGGTTAGGGTCACATTTAGATTAGGGGGTGACTCATCTTCTCTTGGAGCCCACAGAGAGGTACACAGCCCCCAGCATCAGCATGGTGGGGTTCTCTTTTGTTTTTAAAGTTTTTTTGTATCTGATACCATCTGGCATAACTGCTCATGAAAGGTTGTTTTCAACAAAGAAGGAAGTGGGTTTTCCCCTGAAAATGCAAAAAATCTCCAGTGTCTCAGCAACTGCCTCTAATGGAAGGTATTAAACCCAGACGGGGAAGCTGTAGCTGGAGAATTACCTTCCCTGCTGGGCCTTCACATGTCTTTGTTCCAAAAAGCTTAGTTTATATGGTCCTCCATACCAGCACTTTTCCTTTGCTTTTTAAGATGGACCTCATTTGGTGAAGGTGTAGAGCTTCTGTTAGAATCCACAAGGGAACATGCACCTGTTTCTTTGTGTATAATCCTGACATATCTGCATAGTGTATGTCAAAGACACAATTTCACCCGAAACAGCAAAATGATTGGATGGTTGCTTTACTCCCTTCCTATTCTGAATTCAAATGTTTAAAGCGTAATTTTCTTTTTGCTTCATCAGTCGGCTTGCAGCTATGAAGCGAACAGAGCGACCTGGCTTGTGACCTCTGCATAAGAATAGGTTTCTATTAAACTGAAGAGCACTTAAATGATGCATCATGAGAATTAATCACAGCAGAATTTTCTCTTTATTTTTGAGAGATTACTTAAAGCTCTCCTAGATTCTTGATACCCATCTGAAATCATGTGAGAGCAATACCAAAATAATACTGTAATAAGCATGTTGAGAAATGATTACAGTTTTTATTCTCATATATTAATAATATTCTTCAAATTGAATTGTTTCCCGCTCAGGACCAATCAAAATTATGGGTTAACGGAGGTCATAGAAGTATGGCAACAGTTTCTATCCACAGGAATCTCTCACATGCAACAAATTTATTTCAAAAGATTGGTCACCGTGGCAATGGCCCCATTTGCCCCTTGCATCAAATATGCACTAGACTAATAACCATTTGTTGCAGAAATACAGTGAGTGATGCAGAGCAGATATAAAGTACAGGACTCTAATTAGGGCTTAAAAAGAGGCCTGGTTCATACCCTAATGATAGACAGAAATATAATCGCATTAAAAAAATGGAGAATTGGGGTACTGCTAGAATGGTCAGTCCATGGTGCGTATCAACAATAAAATCCATTTCTGATGTCATTCCTGATTGGCGATTTGTGAGCCAAGCAAGAAAACTAGGACAAATGTTGCCATCATAATCAATCCCACTATTCTAACAAAAGAGTATAGTTATTATAGCATTATAACATCAAAACATTCCCAAATAGCTTTATCTTCACAGTACAGTCTCAGAAATATTCAGATTCACAAATAACTGCATAAGAAAATACGTGAATGTGGCTGGTTTTAAATAGTACTTTTGAAAACCCCAATAACATTAGCACAAATAATAAAAGGAAAATGAAAAAAAATGAAAATGTGGATCCAGAAACAACCGCAACCAAGGAAAAGGGAGCTGACTGAACACAGGAATGTTTGCTTTGTACAGAGATCTGGTATTAACACTGTATGTGTTACATCTGAATCAGCTCCATGCTATTCAAGTTCTAATCAGGTGTCATAGGTTGGGTCACAGGTAGAATCAGCATGCCTCTCCATGCATATCACCATGTGGTTCTGCTCAATATAAGAGTTTGGAATAGACAGCAAAGGCATGGTGAAGTACTGTAACAGATAAACATAGAAATAGAAAGAGAGTCTTTGTGGTCTCTGATGCAGACAGTAGGGAACAGAGACAACATCAATAAAACATTTAATGCAACATGTAACACAACATATGAAAATGATGGCGGATGCTTTCAGTGACAGCACTGAAAGTGCAGGAAGTGCACATCTGTTTGCGTTATGGTTTTTGTTATGTCCCTATCATGTTTTGGAGGATTTTAGTCCAAAATGACTCATTGATTTTTTTAGGGGGTGTATTCAGATGAGTAATTCCCTCTGTTGTTGTGTTGTCAATCTCTACGTTATTGTTGCCACAACAGAATTCAAGGCCACCTCCCCTTCGTGCATTGTCTCTTCGTCATTTATAACAAGGTGGTGTCATTCTCAGTTTTGGCATTGTAACAAATGGGAGCGGTCACTGGTATATAGACATCAACGTTTGGGCAGTGAACATGCAGCCTTGCAGTAGACAGATGTCAACAGTAAGGCAGTTTTAATGTTGGGAGCCTAGTAAGAAATTACTGAGGATGTTATAGATCTGTCATAGATCAAAGGGAGTACCCTTTATTGGGGCCATTTGATGTATGAGAGTTAATGGCATTGAAATGTAAGGTCTCCCTCAACATATGGTCTCCCTCAACATACGGTGTCCCTCAACGTACGGTCTCCCTCAATGTACGGTCCCCCTCAATGTACGGTCTCCCTCAATGTACGGTCCCCCTCAATGTACGGTCTCCCTTAACGTATGGTCTCCCTTAATGTACGGTCTCCCTTAATGTAAGGTCTCCCTCAAAGGTAGAAACTGTGCTGTGACCACTGAAGACAAATTATGCCTATAAAATCTGCATAAAATCTGCATAAAATGAAATGTTCATATTACTTTTTACACCCCAGGTTGAGTTTTCTGGCCAGTGAACCAGAAACCATCCAAGGCTCAAAATGTGCTGCAAGTCTTTGAGGGCAAATATGTTTCAAACAGAAGAAACTGGATTTGCTCAGTGTTTGAGGTAATTCTGCCCAAAAAGAAAACTGACAAACTAAAATTGACTGAAGAAAACAGTCGTAATAAAGAAGACTGAGCCAATTTTATAAATGCAAATCGGCCTGCAGTCCTCAGCCATGCTGATGCTGTCATTGCTGGACAGTCATGGCTATTGCTACTTGCTATATTCATTTAATTTGCTGCAGAATGACTGTTCTAATGTTTGTATTATCTTAATTTCCACATTATTAAAAAGTCTCATATTCTGTTCACTTTTCAGAGGATTCCCTCTATATATTCAGGTATTCATATCACATACTCAGGAGAAGTCAAAAGTAACATATTACCAAGAAACTGGTGTAAATCCAATA